AGGGGGGGGAGAAAGAAAGGAAGACGAGAGAGTGTGGCAAATTGAGGGTACTATCATCTAAATGGGTATGTGGAGAGGGTGGGGGGAGGAAAGAGAGTTAGAGGGGGAGAGAAAGAAATAGAAGGGGAGAGGGGTTGAGAGTGAGTGAGGAAGAAAAAGAAATAGAGAGTAGAGAGGGAGCTAGGGGAAGAGGTGTTGAGAGTGAGTGAGGGAGAAAAAGAAATAGAGAGTAGAGAGGGAGCAAGGGGGAGAGAGAGTGAGGGAGAGAAAGAAATAGAGAGTAGAGAGGGAGCAAGGGGGAGAGGGGTTGAGAGCGAGTGAGGGAGAAAAAGAAATAAGAAAGGGAAAGAGATGAATTGACCGAAAAAGTGTCGGTGCGTAATCTGATAATATAATGTTGGGTGTCCTGATTGGGTTTTGCTGAATTTTATGAGCCCGGTTAATGGATTTCTCCACGTCTGTTGTATTCCCCCCACAGATCTGTTACCTGGGGCGAGAGCGGTCGTACAGCGAGCAGATGGAGCCGCAGGTCGACCTTGACAGACAAGCCTACATCGACAAACGCACGACTCACATCACCTTGATGACTCACTCGCGGAGCAAAAAACGTGCGCCCTACGTCGGAATCAGCTTCCTGTCCAGCGTGGCTCCAAATATAGAATCGCCGCACGAGGAACATGCTCAACAATCGGTGGAGCTCAGGTCTGCTCACAACAACAACAACAACGGTTATGACACGCATTCTGTGAGTGCTTCAAAGACAGCTGTGACCAATGGAGATAGTTCGGTAGATAGTTTGCTATCTGGGCAGTCAGGAACAACTGAAAAAGTTGACGATTCTGATAGGAAGGAGGTCGACGCTGATGGTGTAAAGTCCCGAACTACTTCAGGGTACAAGAGAAAAGCCGTGGAGTCGGCCGCGGAAAGTTGTGGGGGGAAGGGAACAGACAGGGAGAGGTCGCAGGCTCAGCTCGGGACGGCGAAGAAAGTGAAAGAGGAGCTGAGTTTTGAAAATGAGGAAGCAAATTTAAATTTAGTCTCAACCTCATGTGATACAACAAGCAAAGACATTTGTGGGAATCTGAACATCTCAGGTGGGGGAAAGCAAACGGAGACCGGGCCGTCTGTTAGGACGGGTGAGGAGTCGACACAACAGATGGAATTGGCTGATGACAAAACAGGAACATCGGTGGTACGGACGAGTGTAAAAACGGAGGACGGTGGGGCGGGGCAGTGGGCGGTGAAGTTCACACCTCGGGTGGAGGGAGCCGTGAGGAACTGCCAGCAGGTGGCGCAGGAGACAAAGACCCGGATTGTCTCGGCCGTGTTCCAGAAGGTTCTCGCATCCGATGAGTCCGCTGTGGCTTCCCTGGAGAACGGGAAGTGTTGGAGGAAGGGAGGTAAGTCAGCCGCGAGTGGTTCGGCGATGTTTGTTAGTTATAGTCCAGTCTGTCGTAGTGGTCTCCCTCTCCACAACACTTGTTTCTTCATGGCGGTCACCTGCACCAATCATAGATTACTTTTAAATCTGATTAATAACTCTTTATCTCTGTGAGGGGTAAACCCACTATGCCGGGGTCTGTTTTTGGTACTAAATCTAAATATATGACAAAATCTTCACCAAATTGGTCATTAAATCAAAACAAGTGAACCTATTTCCATAGTTCTTCATCTAATGAATGAAATCCTGATGAAAGAGACCTGTTTTCAGCAATTGCCGAAAAGTAATTTGATGTTGAAGTCGTCCTAAAGGAATGTGCCTGAGCTGCTGTCAGCGACTCACCGACGCAGGGTTTCCAACTGCGAGCTGCTGGGAGTGGCTTGCCGGAGATAAAGAGTTAAAACTCATTAACAGCATCTTCCTATCACCCAAACTGCCAAAGTCAAAGTGGTCACCTGTACCCCGTGCCTCTTTTCCATAACACCTTTGTGTTTTTTCCCTGTTTTTTTTTTTATTTAACCTGTCCATATCCGCCCCTGTTCAACGCAGCCTGGGCCGGTCATTTTTGCAGCAAGTCAGCCTCAAAAGCTGATTATCATAGCCGTCACTTGCTACAAAAGTTTCCCATGAACCCATCCTCAGAATGAGTGTGTGTATTCAACCAATGCGCTGAAGCTCTTGTGATGGATTCCAATTTTATAATGATTTATCTCACTGTCACTTAAAAGTTATCATGATTTCTCTCACTGTCATAAGTTATCATGATTTCTCCCACTGTCATAAGTTATCGTGATTTCTCCCACTGTCATAAGTTATCGTGTGTCATAAGTTATCGTGATTTCTCTCACTTTCATAAGTTATCGTGATTTCTCCCACTGTCATAAGTTATAGTGATTTCTCTCACTGTCATAAGTTATCATGATTTCTCTCACTGTCATAAGTTATCATGATTTCTCTCACTGTCATAAGTTATCATGATTTCTCTCGCTGTCACCTAAAAGTTATCATGATTTTTCTCACTGTCATAAGTTATCATGATTTCCCCCACTGTCATAAGTTATCGTGATTTCTCTCACTGTCATAAGTTATCATGATTTCTCTCACTGTCACCTAAAAGTTATCATGATTTTTCTCACTGTCATAAGTTATCGTAATTTTTCTCACTGTCAGATAAGTTATTAAAGTTATTGTGATTTTTTCACTGTCACTTATAAGTTATCATGATTTCTTTCACTGCCACTTATAAGTTATCATGATTTCTTTCACTGCCACTTATAAGTTATCATGATTTCTTTCACTGCCACTTATAAGTTATCATGATTTCTTTCACTGCCACTTATAAGTTATCATGATTTCTTTCACTGCCACTTATAAGTTATCATGATTTCTTTCACTGCCACTTATAAGTTAGGCCTATCATGATTTCTGTCATATTAAAACTCAGTGTGCTGCTGAGCAGGGGTATGCGCTATATAAATGCTATCTATTATTATTTATATTATCATAATTTGTTTATTATTATTATCATTATTTATTAATCACTATCATCATTTACTTATTATTATTATTTATTGTCATTATTTATTCATCATTATCATCATTTACTTATTATTATTTATTATCATTACATATTTATTATTATTATTCATGATTATTCTTCCTTCTGTTCCGCCAGGTGCGGTCCCGTTGGGCGACGTGGTGCGTCTGTTCGACAAAGCCACCATGCAGGAGCTCAAGGCCGAGTGCGGAGGTCTCCAGACTTTGTTACGTAACCACAGCCACATCTTCCAAGGTTTGTCCGTCTTACCATGGTTTCAGTTTGCTTTGCTTTTTTTTTTTTATAATGGAAATAGAAATTCCTGATTTTTGTTCTTCACAATTTGAGCCGTCTGTCGCTAAACCAAAGACAATTTGGCGATCCCACAGATTCAGGTTTCCGCTGACATCACTGTACATAGTCCAGTGGTTTATTGAATATTTTGTTGTTTTAATAGTGACCCATTATTGATGATAATAATGAATTAATAATACAGTGCATTACTAGTGAGAAGGAACACAGGCATTGCACAGCTCCAATATTCATCCTTTTTTTCTCCTCTCTCTCTGCCCTCTCTCTCTTTCTCCCCTCTTCCCCCCTCCCCTCTTTCTCTCTTCCCCCCTCTTTCTCTCTCTCCCCCCCCCCCCTCCCCTCTCTCTCTCTCTGCCTCTCTTTCACCTTCTCTTTCTCTCGTAAAAAACTTGTACTCCTACACACACACACTCACACACACACACACACACGCACTCACACACACACACACATATATACACCTTAATTACAACACACAGCCTCTTGTGTCAGAACAGCATAGACTTAACTTTTAAAACACTACGTGCATACTATTTCTATTCCCTCTAGTGACTGGCGGGGTGGTTCGTCTACGAGATTTCACCATGCTGGACCCCTGGGAAGGTCGGAAGCCGAAGAAGACGAAGAGTCAGGAGAGGAAAGTGAAGACGACGCTGTGCTGGTTCTTCCAACACCACCCGGACGGCTGTCCGAGGGAGGGGGAAAAATGTCTGTTTGCTCACGGGGAGGGGGAGCTGAAGGAGAGGTGTCATTCGTAGCTGTGTGTGTGCGTGTACTGTGTGTGTCTGTGTGTGTGTGTCTGTGTGTGTACGTGTACTGTGTTTGTGTGAGTGTATGTCTGTGTGTGTGAACTGTGTGTGTGTGGTGGTGTGTGTGTGTGTAGGGGGGAGGGGGGGTGATAGTGTGTGTGTGTGTAAAACTAGTGTGTTTGTTTTAACCTTAGTGAGAGTCATAGATGTGTGTGTCTGTGAATGTGTGATAGCTTTTGCCTTTGTCAGAAGACTTAATTTATGTACACTCATGTGTGTGTGTGTGTGTGAGTTTGCACCAAAGTTTGGTAACTTTCAAAGCTTGAGTGTCCATGAAAACTACAAATTTATATTTAGGCGCTTTTTGTCAAATGTTTTTCAATAAAAATCCACTCAGAAACATGTGTCTTCACAAGTGGGCATTAAAAAAACAATGCTGAGCAGGAAAAAAAACAACTTTCTATTTTAAAATTTCATTATTGTGACAAGTGTCAAATATGATATCAATGCCACACACACACACATATTGTCCTGTCATATTCAAAAAGAATATTGTCTATAGAAATTCCTCTATCTGTAGAAATAAAAGATTGATTTTGTGGTTATGTGTTTAGTGTGAGTCTAGATCCAGAAGTTTTTTTGTTTTTTGTATTTTAATATTTTTGTTGTGTGTGTTTTTAAGTCCCCTTCAACATAATTTAGATCAATTAAGAGATGGCCTTTGACCTTGCCTGTCAAGGCCAACCGGGACTGAGAGGGATACAACATCCCAGCAGACAGACCCGGGCTGAGAGGGATACAACATCCCAGCAGACAGACCCGGGCTGAGAGGGATACAACATCCCAGCAGACAAACCCGGGCTGAGAGGGATACAACATCCCAGCAGACAGAGCCGAGCTGAGAGGGATACAACATCCCAGCAGACAGACCCAGGCTGAGAGGGATACAACATCCCAGCAGACAGAACCGAGCTGAGAGGGATACAACATCCCAGCAGACAGGGCCGAGCTGAGAGGGATACAACATCCCAGCAGACAGAGCCGAGCTGAGAGGGATACAACATCCCAGCAGACAGACCCAGGCTGAGAGGGATACAACATCCCAGCAGACAGAACCGAGCTGAGAGGGATACAACATCCCAGCAGACAGGGCCGAGCTGAGAGGGATACAACATCCCAGCAGACAGAGCGGAGCTGAGAGGGATACAACATCCCAGCAGACAGAGCGGAGCTGAGAGGGATACAACATCCCAGCAGACAGAGCGGAGCTGAGAGGGATACAACATCCCAGCAGACAGACCCGGGCTGAGAGGGATACAACATCCCAGCAGACAGACCCGGGCTGAGAGGGATACAACATCCCAGCAGACAGACCCGGGCTGAGAGGGATACAACATCCCAGCAGAAAGACCCAGATGCGCAATAAAAATTTCTCCCCACTTAGGAATTGAAATCAGGTCTCCTGCATGAGACACTGAAGTGCCTAACACTAACCACTACACCATAGATGCCAGTGAGAAAGTTTTGCAGCAATGGTAATTTGTTTGTGCGACTCGCTTGAAACTTGTCCGGATGGTGGTCGAAGCCTACTGTATCGATTTTGGACCACCAAGGGGTCTTTAACTTACGCAACTTGCACACGGAGCCTCCGAGATTTTTCACCCTTGTCCCGAGAAGGCAAGGTGTAGATCTTTCCTACCATAAGATCAGGGGTGTGGCAGAAAGACAGAGGTAAGATTAAGAAGGAGCCAAGGAGTAGCAGTTGAAAGGCTGCAGAAAGAGGCAGTAGCCCAGAAGAGGTGGCAAAAGAGATAAACGGGTGAGGGCAGAAAATTGAGACGGCAGACCATTGCTAGAGTCTAGAGAGCAGGAAAGGAGGTGAAAGGAGACAATTTTAGAGGTGAAAAGTTTCCGTGGCTATCCGGATTCGAACCCGAGACCTATTGAATGAGAGGCGAACTCCTTAATCTCTAGGCCACGAGAGGCCCCTGAGAAAGTTTTGGAGAAATTTGAGAAGAATAGTTGTTGTGGTGTTGAGGAGGCGTGGTTCCGGTAGGATAGGGCCA